GCTTGACGGCAGCGACCCCTCACTTAGTTTAGGATTTAGGGTTTAGGGTTTGGGGTTTAGGGTTTAGGATTGGAGTCCTGCATTTCGCTTGGTCAGGAGTTTCCTGTCAGAATCCCGCCTACATGGGATGTTCATTCTACCTCCGCCCACAAAAGAGAGTAGGGCTGAAGGTTCAGGGCCAGGATTGTGTGAAACTTGTTTGTTGCATTCGACCCCAGCAGGACCCAAGGCCCAACCCTAAAATCTCATTTGCCGCTCACCTGGTTTCAAAGACCTGAAAACCTGCAACACAAAATCCTAGACTATAACAACCCTTAACCCCTAAACCCTTAAACCCCAAATCCTAAACCCTAAACCCCTAAACCCCCTAGCGCTCACTTCTTCAACCTGGTCATGCCGCGTCGGTGATCGTGCCATCCTTCTATGGGTGGTAGTCAAAATTATGGTCCCTTTTTGGGTACCCTAAGTATTACGTGCTGTATTATAATCGTGATCCAAAAAGGGACCATAATTTTGACAACCACCCATATACTCCCCCGGTAGTAGTCTGTCCCTCTGGCCTGCTCCGCTATTCCGAACTCAGCGGGAAACTCCAAGGTGGCTGTGGGTTGAAGATGAGCCACAAGAGGAGGTAGAACACAACGAGGTGTTTTCTTTGGAACCCTAAACCCTAAACCCTAAACCGTAAACCCTAAACCCTAAACCCTGGGGTGGGTGTGGGAGGGTGGGGGACAGTAAGGTTGGAAGATCAAGTTGTTTGGTTCAAGGTTTTGGAATGTGGATTTCGTTTTGTGTCGGGTTCAGCTGCCCATACTCTGGGGGGAGCTAAGGAGCTAGGGATAGTCTATATCAACATAATAAGGGGAGCTAAAGAGCCCAGGAATCTCCAAAACCATAGGGGAGTTTCAAGGTTTAGTATTTAGTCTTGTGGAAATTTGCAGGAAGGATGCTGAGTGCTTCTAGCTGACAGTACTTCAGAGAAATGGCTGTGTTGAGTTTCCAAGAATAGTATTGTTCATTGCGGGTATGTTTAATGGCAATGGCTGATATTTTAGTCAACATCTAGCAAGATTAACTTTCCCTTTTGGTACGGTATTTTTCAGAAGCAGATCACCTTCCGTACTTGGTTCAACCGAGAACCCTCAAGCGAATAGTAGCGGCATTTGCAATGAATTCGCAGTCTGTGTGGCTTGGGAATGTTTAAAACCACTGAACAAATCTGCATCACATCTACGCTCTACTCATTGTTCACGGCTTAGTGTCAAGGAGTTCCCTAAACCCTAAACCCTAAACGGGAGGTTTACCGGACTAGTTACAACTCATTGCCAGGCTTATAACCGTCCGTGCAATCCCACGAGATAGACTGACTTCGGCTGCCCAGTTTAGGGTTTAGGGTTTGCCCCCAGCTTTAAAGAGTTCTACTTGCAATTTTTCATCATACCCTAAGAATTATTAAGTTAAGCATGAACTTGTTGTTTGAGGTCTAGGGGGATTACACACAAGGGGAGCCCCTGATTGCGCGGAATCTTCTGGCCATTTCGACGGCAGGGATACATTTCTGGAACTGCCACTGCTGCGCACCTTCACCCAGGCTTTTCCTTTGCTGCTAAAAGCCCTAAAGCCCCAAAGACGCAGACCCTACACTCTAACCCCCACACCCTACGCCAGAGAAGGTGGACTCGAAGAGGCACATGATGATATAATCCGCAAGAGCTCTCAGAGCCATGAAGTTGTCAGAACTCCAATTGATGACTCCAAATTGATGTTGGTAGTTATTTAGGCCGCGGTTTCCAGGAGGAGCATTCGTTCCGGACCAGGACTCATGAGATTCCTTCTGCATGAAGCATGCTGCACGGATGCCGAGGAAATTGTGATGAATCTTGTTGGAAGCTTGGTGGAAGCGTGATGAGAGTTATGATTCGAAAGCTGCTTCTGCGGCGATGATCTTGATATTTCCAATTGATACTCCTGATGCCTTCCCTCTGTTGTGCTGTTACTGGGCTAGCGGGCTATATAGCTTGAGGCGTGGCAGCTCTACATGACCAATGGTTGGGAGCCGTCCAATGGGCGCAGTATGGTGCTTGAGAAGAATCGTGTTGATGACAAGAACGAAACCAAGATTGGTTGTGGCCACTGTTGCAAGACCATCCGTTGAAAGGTGCAGACACTTGAAGCTGGAAGCTCGGGATGTTGATGACACTGAAGAACTGCAAGCTGTTTCTGCAGCAATGCGCCTGCAAAATCCAATTGATACTCCTGAGTCCTGAGCATGTCCTATTTACACGGGCCTTGGTCTCAAATGATGACTTGACACGTTTGATGACCAGATAGGAAAGCACCAAGCGCGTTTGCTTGCCAGCTTGAGTTGTTCAGTTGTTTGGGATTGTAATAGTGGTATAATAGGACTATAAGAGGACCCTAATATAAGTACCATTATCCCTTATAGTCCTAAACCCTAAACCCTAAACCCCTAAACCTAAGGGATTGTGTTGTTCAATGCCATCCTGTTGCGACTGGCCACCGCACGGTTCGCAGGAGAGCAGGCCGCCTACAGCTTCCCGAAATCATATGAGCCATAGTCTAAACTCCTAGTATCCCCCCTAATATCCCTTATGGTAGTTCCCTATATAATCCCCTATATAACCCCCCTTTAGGAGTTAAGACTATAGCTCATATTATCTGGTCCCCATCATTGGGTACTGGATTCATACCCCTTTGTATCCCTCATTTCTCGCATGGTCCCCCCCTATAGAACTAAACTTCTAAAACTGTCTCCCAATATGGTAGTTTCCCAAAATAGGGGACCCCAATATAGACCCAAACATATACGGAGCCCCAAGAAGGTACCCCTAATTTTGGGAAACCCCCATATCTTCGGCCCATCGCCTAAACCGCACCTGCCTCCATCAGCAGTATAAGCCTTAACCTCCTCTACGCTCAGTAGATTTGAGCTCGAAACCTCTTAAGGGTTGAGGGTTTAGGGCCTCTTAACCTAGAGTCCTTGGGCGATCTCCAGTTCAGAAGCTCCCGCTTACGCTGACCCCTAAACGCTACATCCTGAACCGTAGACCTTACCACAAACCTTAGACCCTAATTAGACCTTAACTATATCCCTATAACCTTTTAGAATCATAAGTAGATAGAATATGGGGTATATGGGGATCTTACTATATCATACCCAAAGCCATATTCCATCTACTTAAGGGGGACTATAACCTTTAAACCCTAAATCCTAAACCTTAGACCATAAATCCTAAACCCTAAACCCTAAATCCTAGCTCCTAAACCCTAAATCTATTTAAGAGGGACTATAATTATAAGCATTCCCCTTGCCCTGACAGCTTTATCCGACGGAACCTTCT